ACCTTTTCTAACCTATCCCTCCCTTGTGAGAAGGCAGCATCGCTGCAGATGCTGGTTGTCCGAGGGAAACACCTTACTGCTGACACACTCCTTTACAGTCAGCAGTACAACTTCGCCCTCAGACTTTGAGTTGCTTGACTGAAATCAATGTTATCTGCAGTTTTTATAAAGCAAAATACAATGACAGACCTTTCAAATTTTAATCGTTTGCAAATTTACATTAATAATCATACATTAAGTACCATGAGCAGTTAGATGCCTAACACCCGACATTATGATCTTAACATTAGACCTAAAGTGTTTATTTAAGATCATTGTTATAATCGTGTGTGAATTCATCTTGAGCAGTTATGAAATTAGAATATGACACGTACATACCTCATGTCGAATAGAATAAAGTAGTTCTTTCAGCTTAAATGAATCAACTATAAAAAGTATTTTAAGATGAAACTCATTTTCCATAAAGCTACTTACATTGATTCTTACGGTTGAATAATAAGATGTCTGATTAAATGAATTCACATGCAGTGATTACTCTCACGATCGATTAATAAGGTTAAAGATGAACTTTTCATAGATGACTTATATGCTAATCATAGTGATTAAGTGACTAAGTAAGATTTTATTCTAGTGAATAAATGCAATGATGTATTTGATCATCTTTCTTTAAAAATTATGTCTGATCAAAGTACAATCTATGACAAAGTTAGTTATGCGACAAAGAAATACTCTTTTGAAAAAAAATGTATTACAATTAGGAAAAGCATTATTTTAGGCTAACTCTTGAGACTTTCGACATTATGACAGATAAACTATCATCATGTATTGATTGTATTATATAAAAAAAACTTTAAATATTAAATGTTTTGGGAAGAATTCGAAATCTTAAAACTTATATGTGCCTGTTACTCCTCGAGGAGCAGCATAGACCATCCACTAGCACTCTTCATTCAACCCTGTCCTGGGCAATCCTTTCTTTCCAGTTGTTTCCAATTACTAATCATCCTTTTTGTATATCTGCTTCTATTTCCCAACGTAATGTGTTCTACGGCTTTCCTCTTTTCCGCTTCCCTTCAGGATTCAATGTAAAGGGTTATCTCATGATGTAGTTTAGTGATTCCCGTAATTTATGCCCTATCCACTCCTAACATCTTTTTCTCAGTTCTTCAGCTGGAAGCTGGTTTGTCCTCTTCCACCATAAACTGTTGCTGATGCTTTTCCAATGATATAATTTAGATTATTTATATAAAATCATGAGACTTTAATAGTAATAATTTAGCTTATGATACTCTTCTCATTTTTTTTCAAATTAAAACCAAGGAATGCTGTTTAAAATGCAAGTTCAATAGCTAACAATATTCTCTGCGCTATTACTTGTTCAATATATAAGAAAAACAGTTATATATTGTCGATCTACCTATTTCCTATGTAAATTACATTCACCTATATGATTATGGAATGTCGGTAAGATTATAATTTATGAACAGCCTATGAGCAACATTAAATTGACCTTGAGAGTGTACACCTAATAACTAGGACAAAATGAAGCTGATAAACCAGTGTGAAGAATTAGAATTAGAATTTACAGTTTATGGTTAATGGTTAGAAATTAGATTTGGGGGGTTTTCATCACGAACTGACATCAGATATAATGCCAAAACTCTATTTAACCAAATGAATCAATGAATTTCGTGCCAAAAATTCAAGACCTTTTATCTTTAATCATCTGATTACTTTTACTTACTTTACTTATGCCTGTTACTCCTAATAAAGCATAGGACACCGACCAGCATTCTTCAACCCACTTTGTCCTGAGACTTCTTTTCTAGTTCCATCCAATTCTTGTTCATTTTACTCATGTCTATCTCCATTTCCCGGAGTAATACGTTTTTTGGTCTTCCTCTCCTTCTTTGATCTTCAGGATTCCATGTAAGGGCTTGTCTTGTGACGCCTGGAATCCCTTCAGGAGCTACTACCGGTCCCAAGCCCGGATAAAGAAGAAGGGTTGGACACGGGGTTAGCGACTCCATTCCGTAGAAAACTAACTCGCTAAAAAAACGCTAACCACCCAAAAAAAATTATTCAACCATCTGATTAGTTCATTCATAAATTATAGTTTCGTCGGAATTTATTCAACATTTATTAATCTATATGGTAATAAAATGATAAGAAACTATTCATAGATCCATTAATAAGTTCCTAATTCTAGTTATTTTAATAATCAAGTCATTTCCATTATTCAATATTCATTCATTCTATGTTATTGATCTATATTATTTCATTTTATTAGATCAATTGACTCTTATGCTGAAGATTATGGTAGTGTTTATAATAATCGTCCAATAGTTGTTATCTTCTATGTGGCTTATATCATTGTTATAGCATTTTTTATGATTAATATATTTGTTGGTTTTGTTATTGTCACATTTCAACAAGAAGGTGAACAAGAATATAGAAATTGTGAACTTGATAAAAATCAAGTAAGTTTTAATTATTCTATTTTGTTTTCTTGAGAATAAATTGTTTTAGTGATCGATATTTTCCAGCTCTATTATTGTATGTTGAATGGTACCAGAATATTGTCAGTGCTAAGAGTCTCGTAGAGCATGATCGGCTTATGTCTTTCACTCTGTTTCGTGACCATTTTATCTGTCTGTTGTTCTGATTTAGGTTCGTCAGTTTGTGACATAAAATTAACATTAATCTCTTTTTATCACACATTGATTTTTTCATCTACTGTGATGTTATGCCTGGATCTCATGGACGGCATTTGTGGAAGGTCTATTGTGTCGTTATTTAAAGACAAAAACGATGATAATAATAGATGGTACAATTCATAACATAGAACGTACTTATTAAGTTGCACCAATATATCAATTATTTGTGAAAGATCGTTATTTATTATGAGTATTACCGTTACGTTCAATAATGTTTGTGACATAATGTATTTGTAATTAAAATAGTGATATAATAAATCCACAACTATGATTATAATTCAGATAATAATCCGAATGGAGACAAAGTGTATGATTTTTCGAAATTAGATTATATCGTCGAAAATTGTTTCGTGTTCATACACTGAGATCACCAATTCTCTAGTGGCTTTACTTCGTTAATCGATCATCTCGACAACCGTTATAATATAAGTTCTCAGCGGTGTTTAAAATCAGAAGGAAATAGGAAGCGGCTACTATAGTTTATTAGCGGATAGCTCAGATCACAAAGTTATAAGCATGTCGAGTGAATTTGAAGCGGAGAGGCGAAGAAATGTATACGAACAAATAAGTAGGTAAATTTATAATGGAATTGCGTAGCAAGGCAAAGCAAAGGCTAATGATAGGATTTGAGTACATACATACATGGGGGCGGATGAATGGTCGAATGATATTTAAGCAATCAACTTTTTATCTAGAGTCTGTCATATGTTCTAGTTGATCAAAACGGCACAAATAAAATTGTCTGTTAAGTAAGTTAATAAAAGGGCTTAACGAAAATGTAACCATCATCGAAATTGGTTGTAGGATAGTTGCTATACTTTGATTTGTTATTAAAAATGCGCTGTGTTTGATCATAGAATGACAAAACTACTTGTATGTCACAAAAATACGACACTAAGTGATCCGTTTACTTTGTTGAATGGTTAAAGCTATCTAGAATATAAAAAATGTTACTTAATGTGATAGTCAATGAAACAATATTACTGATTAGTGTATGTGTTTTAAGCAGAGGTGGTTGGTGGCTGGTTGTGAATAACACGATGGAGTTTCAAGTGAACTGTACTGAGTTTGATTCTCGTAATAAACATTTACCCAGATGTAGGTACATCCACATAGTGAAACGTGGAACTTGTATTCCACTGCCAGCCACTAACCATCTCCGCTCATAACGCTTTTGACTAAAGGCAATATCGTCGCAATCCGTTTAACATGCACACATGTCAATAAAGATGGACCAAAACATTAATGGGAAGATTCATAGAGCTAAGAAAAAGATAAATATTCAAAGATGCATAGTGGCTAGCAGTGGAATCGAAGATGCTCGTCACTCTGGGACTCGAACGCATAACCGTCCGCTCCAAATTCCTTCGCGTTTTCCACTTAGCTATTGAGTCAACTCTGAGATACAGATACATCCAGCTGACAAGTCCCAAATAGGACGAAGTGACTCACATCTTGGATTTCACTGCTAGCCACTATCCATCTTGGCTTATAGAACTTGTGACTGAAGGTAATATCGAGGCTAACTGGTTATGTTTTGTCACACTGACACACTCACGCACACAAAAATAATTTATTCAATGTCTCACCCAACTAGTTATGTAATCAGTACATAGTGCCTATTGATATTTTGTGTTTTTGGTTATCTTCATCTTCTTTTGTTTTGTTTTTTTCAATCACCATTGTAATTCACCTAAACATAGACACAAATATCAACTAACATTTTATGTCTTATAAGAGTATGTCTTACTTTTCTAATGATTTCTTATAAATTGAGTATGTTTGCTTAAGCATATATATATATATAGTTTGGTTAATAAGACTAATAAGCTTATAGAATAACTAATGACTATACACAAATGGATGCATGTTGCATTATGTCAATCTACCTATAAATAAAGGTGATAGGTTTCTTATAATCTAATCATAGACGAAGAAGAATAATAATAATAAAAACGAAACATACCAAATTGTCATAAACAAAAAAACCAATCAGATTGTGCATGAACCACATTGTTCGATCATTTCAAATCATAACAATAATAAGCCATGATTAGTTATTTGAAATGAAGTATATCATCTTGAGTTGACTGTGGAATGTTTATTATTACCATTAGAATTAATATCAATTAGACTTACAATTATCCATGTAAGTTAATTCAGTTCTATACTCAACATCCATTCATTATAATTAGATCCAATAGAATTAGATCCTATTGAAAAGTGTAATTCATTCAAATCAATAAAGGATCATTATTCATAATAATGGAATGGATTCAAATAATGATCTTATTACAATTCCTCATATTACTATTATTATCAGGATATAATAATCATCTTAATAATTCATTATTAATTCCAAAAATTTCATTAAAATCAATTAAAATTCCTTTAAATGATTATTTTATAAAATATTCCAAATCTTCTTTAATATCATCATTGTTATCCCCCTCATCACTATCCCCATCATCATCATCACCCTTGAAGGGTCATCCATCCAATAATGTTTGTTTGTTGTTTCATATCCCTAATATAAAATCGATTAATCAATCTCAAATCAATTTAACAAAAATCTATATAAAATCCAATCATATTTTAGATCTTAATAATAATAATAATAATAATAATAATAATAATAATAATATATGGGCTATTTTTCAATTAGATCATTCACATTCATATTTATCATTATTTGTAACATTAAAATATTTAAATCAATCTTTTGATCATTATTCTATTCAATATCCATTATATCAATGGAAAGATTATATATATATATTTATGTTGACAATAATCAATAATGGGAATAATGGGGATATTGATTATCAACTATTTAGTGAATTATCCTCTTCTCTGTATCCATCTTGTTTATTAAATAATAATCATTTAAATGATTTATCAAAATTATGTATTTCATTAATTCATTGTAATGATCATTTCATTGAAAATATTCAAGAGATTAATTCTGTTCATAATGTTGTATTAAGACGTGTAAGACGTGATGTATCATCATCATCGACATCATCATTGAATGTTTCAAATAGTAGTACAACAATGAATGAAGAAACAAAACCTAATCAACTTAGTCCAGGCTTATTAGCTGTTATAATAATTATACCAATCTTAATTATTATTGGATTAATTATAGGCGGTTATTATTTATATCGTTGGTTAAAAAAACGTCGTGCATCACATGGGATATATCAACCAAATTATATGGAAAATGAATCGAATATTATAAAACAACAACCTGAACCACATACCATAGTGAAAATACCGAATGAAGAAAGATTAATCTAAATATAATTAAAGGATTTGATTCATTTAATACTTTTTTTTGTGGTATTTTTTTTTCAATTGTATTATATGGTCTACTTGTTTCTATGGTTTGTTTTATTCAAATTGTATAAATGAAATATATAAAATATATATATTCTCTCTATTAAAATTCTTATTCCTTTTTCTCCCTTTTCTCCCCCCTCTCTCCCTCTCTCTCTCTCCCTACATATATCCATCTATCTATCTATCTATATATATATATATATATATTTAGCGTAAATGTATTGAATTTGCATTGAAAGCTAGACCAGTGAAACGTTATATCCCAAAAGAAAATTTTCAATATAGAATATGGTGGTTTATTACATCACAACCATTTGAATATTGCATTTTTATATTTATATTAATTAATACCATATCATTAGCAATGAAAGTGAGCTACATCCCTGTTTTTTAGTTTTTCTCTTTTGTTTTTTGTTTTTATTTTTTATTGATTATTTCATGATTGTTTATTTGTTTATTGAATTAATGAATGAATTAATTATTGTTTCATTATTCATTAATTGGGATACATTAATGATGATGTTGTTGTTGATGTTTGATATATAAATAAATAAGCAATGAAATCATTATAGGAAAGTATGATGTTTTATAATTGTATATATATATTCTATCTGTTTTAATGTGTGTTATCGATTATATTGCTAATGTATAACATGATTATCAAAAAGGGATTTTGTGGAGATTCTAGAAATTTCAATCGTTGAAATCATGAGTCAAAAGAAGCTAGACCATCATGGAAAACCTGGATGTTTCACTACACGGCCGTTTCGTTCTATGATAGGACTTTTTAGCAGTGAGCATTCACGATCCTGCCCACCTCCCGCTAGATTCGAACCTACGATCTATCAATCTCGCGTGCAAACGCTTAACCAATAGACCACTGAGCTGGCCGATATTCAATGGTCTTAATATCTAACTTCAACCAATACTTGTGGATAGGCACTGTAGAGGAGATTCAAACCCACGATCTATCAATCTCGTGTGCGAACGCTTAACCATTAGACCACTGAGCTGGCCGGTATCCAATGGTGTTAATATCTAACTTCAACCAATACTTGTGGATGCGCACTGCTGAGGAGTCTCATACTTGGTCGAAACGGCCGTCTCGTGCTTCCAGATTTTCCATGGAGGTTAAGCTTCAATTGACTCATGATTTCAACTATTGAAATTTCTATCTTTTGAACAAAGATGGATAGTGACTAGCAGTGGAATCTAAGACTCCCGTTTTGCCTTACTAGTCACTATCCATATTTGTTTAAAAAGCTTATCACTTAAGGCTATATCAAATAAATATGCACAGGATGCATATATGCCAACATGAGACTGATCATTTGAAATTCTAAAAAGCAATCGGAAGATACAAGTAAAACAACACCAAGTGAATTCTATCTTTTATGACTACTTTATTTTACTTTATGTTCAAATGAATTCCCATTGTGTATATTATCAGTTGTTTGATAAGCTCTGATAGTTTATATCAAATAGAAGTATGAGTGTTATTGAAACTTCCAATCTACTTATATTATAAGTATCCCTATATTTGTTGAAATGATTATAGTATTTTTATTCTTTAAATCAAAATGTAATTACATTTGTACGCTTGATATAAATGATTAAATACATTGGAAATTATCGCTATTAAAAGGGTTTTTGTCGATATTGTGGTAATCTCAATAGTTCAGATCATGAGTGAATTGAAGCTAGACCACCTTGAAAAACTTGTAAGCCATTGGACGGCCGTTTTGTTCTATTGTAAGACTCCACACCAGTACGCATTCTGATATTAATCAACATATGCTCACTAGTAATTTGTTCCAAGAGGTATTTACTGGAATTCTAGTAGGAAGAAGTGTTCAGTGGAGTTCAACCAAGTTTGTTGTGAGAAAGTAACTCACTGATGAAAATGATGGATGTGTCGCTCAATTTCGTGGATTGGATGAAGTTAGACATTAACGGTATTGGGTGTCGGCCAGCTCACTAATCTAGAAGTTGAGCGCTCGTGCGCAAGACTGATAGGTTCTGGTTTCGAATCTCGCGACGCGGGGTATCGTGGATGTGCATTGCTGAGGGTTCCGACGATAGGTCGAAACAGCCATCTGGTGCTTCCAGGTTTTCCATGGTGGTCTAACTTCAATTAACTCATGATCTCAACCACTGAAATTATCGTTATATCTTACAAAAGTTCATAACCTATTCAACGAATGAAAATAGTTAGTAATAGTTTTACTAAGAAGTATTACAAACTGAGTTCATAAGCGATTTTAATTTATGATCGAATTATGATCAATATTTTAATGGTCAACTTAACTGTTTAATCTTCCAATATAAGTCGTGAATTATTGAACTTATTATTCATTATTATAAGATTATGTATTGAAACTGTATAAGTTTGTAAAAATTGTGATAATCTGTTACTTTAATCTGGAACTATTGATCATAGTTATTCTAAACTATCTTTCTAAACTGTTTATATTGTGTTATGCTAGTGAACCAATGATATTAACTTTCAATCTGATAATCATTAGTTATATCTGAAGTGAATGTTTTCAATATCAAAACTAATTGTTCATTTGAGATTTGTTGATTGATGTCCTAATAGATTTGCAAATTAAATCAAGATATCAAATGAGTTTTGTGAAGATTATAGTAATTTCAATGGTTAAGATCATGAGTCAGTTGAAGCTAGACCAACATGGAAAACCTGGAAGCACTGAACGGCCGTTTCGTCCTATTGTGAGACTTCTAAGCAGTGCGCATCCACGATCCCTCCCACCGCTCATGAAATTCAAACCCAGGACCTACTGGTTTCGAGCGCGAACACTTAACCACTAGACCACTGAGTAGGCATCCAATGGTGTTAATGTTTAACTTCAACTAATCCATGAATTTGAGCGACACCACCCACCATTGTCTTCAGTGAATTACTATCTCACAACAGATCTGGTTGAACTCCACTGGTCACTACTTCTCACTAGAACTCCAGGATATACCTCATGAAGCCAGTCACTAGTGAGCATATGTTGATTAATATTAGATGGGTTTTGTGGAGATTATAGCCTGAACAAATAGCATATAATTAAATAGTCTTAGTTAGATAATCTTATTAATATATATGAAGAAACATTTTACTCATAATCACACCATTTGCCAATGACTCTGAAATTTGATACGATTGTTCAATGAATAAGAATTTTTGTCTAAATTTGATCGAATAGTTTCACAGTATTTGAGCGTTGAGTTCATGTGAAACATTAAAGAGGAAGAATGTTATATTTGTGAAAATCTCAACGAATGAATTTGAAGTAAATCTAACGTTTTCCGTGGCAATTTGATTCTCCGGTTCACTGTATGACTCAATAAATCATCCAATCAATGTTAATAATGTTTAAAGTAGGTATTTGTTTTAGTGTAATATGAGACATGTGATGTTGTAACAAAAAATGTATAGATGAAACATCAATGCAACTGAATGTGAAGGTGAAGAAATAACAACTATGCTTAAAGCACATTCCTCAATCTTCAGTTGATGTAAGAAAACTCGAGAACGAATCAGCAATAGCATTACACTCAATAAAATCAGGTCATACAATTGATTTCAATGGCACAAGAATCTTTAAAAAAAGGCTTTAATTCTTACATAGAGAGACTAACAGCCGATTCATCAGTATAGATAGACATTACATAGGATGTTACACAAATTCTTGTACTTCTGATCTCGTGATCATGCTATTGGTTTCATGATGTTTGTTTTAAAGTGAATCGTAAAAATTGTTACTCATAGAAATTAATCATGTCAATAATTTTATTGATCATTATTGTAAATTTTTTGTGTTTACTATTGAGGATATTCATTGTCTACTTCGTAATTTCAATCTTTTCTAAATATTAAAAGGGTTTTCTTGTTGTTGAGGAGTCTCCTATTAGGATGAAACCTTCATTCAGTGATTCGAAGTTTTCAATTCTGGTCTAACTTCAATTGACTCATAATTTCAACTATTGAAATTTTCTAAACATGTTTAATAAATTATCATCTACTTTATAAAATCTTATGTAAATATAAAGGACTGAACTATTATCATTTGATACAAATACTAAATTCTTATTTACATAGTAACTATCAATATTTCCTGATAAAGATGCTACGAGTACTAACACACGATAATAAGATAATATTATTCATAAGAAGTACCTAAATAAATGGTTGTTCTGTTTGTCAGAAGAGGGTATCGGCCTCGTGACTTCCGAAGGAAGACGGCTTTCATCATGAGGCATCATAACTCTTCTAAATGAAGACCTTCTGACTCACAGGACAGAGTTTAAATGGTTCGAATCATTTTTTCTGGTTAGTGTTTTTTATCGAGTCAGTTTTCTACGGGATGGAGTCTCTAACCCCATATCCAACCCTCCTCCATTATCCGAGCTTGGGACCGGCAGTAGCCCCTGGAGGGACTCCAAGTGGAGTTATTTTAGCAATTGTCATTTGTTAGGTGTTTTATGTAATTCATTTAAAGTTCTGACAAACGTTAATTAACCGGTTATATCAATTGTGTTTTGTTTACATTTATGACATGTTATGTCATAAATGTCATAATCTCCAGAACATTCATGAAGTAAAAGGCACAATATGCAGAAATTGAACGAAGTATAAACTTATAAAATAGGTAACTTTAAGTTTCTATTATGTCATTGTACCCTATGTATTTGATATGATGGAAAGAAAAGCCAATCTTAGATTGATTTACTCATGATGAGTTTTGTTCAACATTCAACATCCATTTTGATTCAACGTGAGGATCATTCAGTAGAGTATTCGTTTTTGTTTCCTCGTATGATCTTTTTATTCTCTATAATATACGATATTCTTGTATTCCATTGATATGAACTATGCTCTGTATATGATTTGTTATAATTGAGTATGTGATTTAATTCTATTCATTAATCAAAATGGGTGTACAATCAATATGTAAATGAGTGTATTTTAGACTAGGGTCATCGTCGTCATAGTGTTTTGGGGCTAATAAATAATCACTTATACCAGTCTTTGTGTTCTTACTTTCGCGTCGTGGGAATTGCCGAGGTCCCTTCGTTCCGAGTATAAGTGATTAGCGTTTTCCGACACAACAATCAGCGACGACCAGATATAAAAATATTCTGACAGAAACTTCTAGAAACCAAAAAAAGAAAAGAAAAAACCAGTCCACTGAACAAATTATAAATTCATTTCACTATATTTGAATTATTCTCTTATCTGTAATTCTGCATCGATTTTAATGTTAAAATGAAAACATTTGCAGTTAGTTCAACTTGCCAATATTCATATTTATTGTTCATTGTTTGTATCCGATTCCTGTCATACTATGTCGTTTAAAT